AGCACTGTCAAAAGCGTTCCTAAGGCGCGGCTGCCTTGTGCATGAATATAATTACTGAAGGGAAGCTCATTATTTAAATCAAAGGTGATCCGGTTGGCATTTTCCAAAAACTTGTCTTGAAATCTTGTTAGATTTCACAAGGTATTAATTTTGAAATGGAGAGTAGAAATTGGCACCACATGTGTCAGGTATTAAGCACCTCTAGACCTGACCAGTAAGCTCTCTGTTGCCTCTCACCTACTCTCAGCCTGGCTGGTGTGAACTCTTCACTGGTTGCTGATTACTTTCAGTCGTTCACGCAGGGTCAAGCTGAACTTTTACATCTCTGAGTGGCCTGTTGTGGTTTTATTCCCGCTGATAAAGGAGGCTTGATTGAGCAACCCCATCATCCTTCCCTATGTGGATAAGCGGTCTTTTGGGCCCACTCATCTTTTCTGCATCTTGATGTCTGTCTGAAGGGTTTTTAGGGGTTGAGATGTGGACCTGTTAATGTGGGTTCAGGCACAAGTGTTAGCCAGGTCCTCAGGCAGCCACACTGAGGGCAGAGCGACAGCGACAGCGACAGCTTCAATCGAGATACCCTACTGACTAATATCTATAGGCGTGAATTACAGCTGACAGGGTGTGTGTTCCGGGGTCTAATCAATTCTTGCAAATGTGATCTGTATTTCTGGCAGTCACTGTAAAATATCATGTCTTCAAATGTAAGCTCTCAAGTTTTCCCTTTCACATTTTGTACTTTGACTGTTCACACAAACATATTCTGTGCAGGCGATAGAAAACCATGTGACATGCAGTGCTGAAGAGCTGCAGGTTTCTGTGACAACCAAGAAAACAGCAGGTTCACTAATAAGAAAGAGCCTTCAGCCAGAGGGAAAGGCAGGAGCTAAGCAGTGACATCATTTGGTTTAATGTAATGTTATGTTTTGGTGACATTTTTTCACAGCCTTTGACATTTATTTTGGCTGTTTGGTGGGTGTATCATGCGTAAAACTATACATACCATAACCATGATTAGTTGCTGATTCTTAAAGTATTTTTCCAGTTGTAAATTTCAATTTGAAAGTTGATACTTTTAATGTTCTCTCCTGGATAGTTTAAAGAGTACTCCACAGGTTAAGCATAGTACTTAACTCACGATTTACAGTTTAAACAAAGATCAAAATCAAATCGTCTCTTGTACAGCATGCATTCTTCTTCCTTGTTAAATCTGGTGCGTACAGTGCCCACAATGCAACTTGACTGCTAACAGTTCTGGAAGAGATTTGGATGTGTTATGCTATAGCGGACCTTACTAATGTTGACTCAAGTGACATAGCTTGAGGAAATTAACAGATTTCGCACAGCTCCCTCTGGAGGCTATTTTTTTCTCTTTTTCACAAAAATAGGTGGCGTTCCCTTTAAGTTTAGTGAAGGTTTATATCAGTAATACTCAATTCACAGGCCAGATCTGGCCCCTGATAAGGTGTCCAGTGGCTCCCTAGCCAATTTTTTAAATCATAATGAAAATAAATGTGTTCACATTGGATTTTTTTCATACTTTGAACATAGATCCAGTTCCAGTGTGCATGAAAAAGCATGAAAACTGAATAATAATAAAACTGAACAAAAAAAAATTGCCGGTGAGGATCCCCTGGATGCCCTGAAATAGGGTGCGAGCTAAGTCCTCAATGTCTTCAAATCTTAGAAACGCCTCTGCATACACCTCACCTGTATGGGGCTGCTGCATCTGGCCCCTGGCCTCCTGTCATTTTGGATAAATCGCTAGTTTATGTTATGGCCATCAGTTTCAGATAGCACTGTTCATGAGAAGTTATGTGTTTTTGGCAGTTTTGCAATTTTTAGCATTCATTTATAGTTCTGTTTGTGGCAACTTGACAGTGGCGCTACCAGAAATTTGTCATATGGGTGGCCAGATGGGGCCACTGAAAATCTTGGGGTGGCACACCAAGCCCAAAAGCCATAACAATATGCTGTTGAAGGCAAGGCAAGGCAAGTTTATTTGTAGAGCACAATTCGTAAAGAAAATGCATTAAAATCACAATACAAAATAAAAACATAAATAATCATTATAAAATGAACTTTAAAAGAGAAGAGTGCATATAAGATCCTTTCAGTCATATGCACAGTGAAATATATATAATTGAAGTATATAGACACGTTAAACACTATATAAATAATTGGTGCATTAAGGAATGGCATACTGCTTTACTTTGGCTTAATATTTTACAGTTAATATTACTAATTATCTGATGTTCACAGACTAATTCTGACAGTTAACATTTTAAGCTCCACAACAACCCTTTTGAATGTGTTATGTATCTGTACATGTTCAGCTCTAGTTTCCCAGCGCAGCGCAGGGTGGCGAACCCACGCAGAGCTAGTTTCGAGCAGCGCAACCCGAGGCGTGCTCAGTTTGGTAGTTTGGCAGACCGAGGTGCGCTGAGATGGGTGTGGCGGCGCAGCAGGGGGAGGTGTCGACAGATCCAGCTTGGCACAGTGACAGTTTAGTGCCAAAAGGCTTCGCCGAAGGTGCGCTAAAAGCTCGCCAGCTGAAACTAGGTCTACTGTCAGCGCAGGTGGAGCGCAGCCGGTGTAAGTGGAAGTTTGGCTGACCGGCGGACAGTGCGCACACGTCACCAAAACCTCACAGGCAGGTTTCCAGAATATCAGGCACATCAACGATGCAATAAATACCCAAAAAAACCACTATTCAATGCAACTATCTGCAATCAGCACATAAATGTATCTCTATATCGACTGTCCTGTCACATCTGATGTCAGATCAAAGGGGATTGGCACCGTTTGGCACGTGTAATGGAAACCCAACCTAATTTGAATAAACAGCTGCAAACTAATGAGTTCACATCCCTCTCAGCCAACCACAAACAGCCACAGCATCAGATAGGGAGTATATATTCAGCATCTGTCATCTTAGAAAAGTCAAAAGAAAAGAAACAGAGTGAGACTGCGAGAGAGAAAGAGAGGGCGCGCGCGCACGAGAGAAACGCAACATTGATTTACAATTGTGGTGACCTCCTCCCAGGCCACCTTTGCATCATCAGCCCGTGGAGGTCTGCTCGCAGTTCCGTATATTCGGACACTGTGAGCTTGGACCTCCCGGGCCAAAACATCAGTTTCCTCCTGGGAGAAGTTTGGCCGTCTGACGCTGCTGCTCTCTTCTGCCATGGCGAATTGAGTAAACTCTCATTATGCCTTAACGTGGCGCATTTAAGGGCGAGGAGAGGGGCTCATTTGATTGGTGTGATGTGTGTAAAACCCACTCCACGCCTTCTCTCCTCCCTCTTTCCGACTTGCGCAGGTAGGAGGGACGGAGGTGGGAAAGAGGAGTAGCTGCGCCAGCGCGCACAGTGTGCCAAACTTGCAAAATCCGCCTGGCCACACCCAGTTGGCTAAGCGCAGGTGCGCTGCGCTTCCGCCACGCCTGTTCTGCGAAACTAGAGGCTGTTATGTGATTCGTAGTTCTTCAAATAGGCTGGTTGTACTTTTCCTTAAAAAGATACATAAACTGTTATAATTTGAACGACTACGTTGATTGCAAGGAACATTTACTGGTGCAACTTTTCTTAAGTTTTTGGGAGACTTGTAGGTATCTGGAGAACCCATATTCCCTCTTGAGGTGGGAGTTTAAGGAACTTCTTTGAAAATGACCATGCCAGATTCTCCTTTGCAAAAATTTTGCCTCATTTTGGGGCATTCATTTTGCCTGCTGCTTGTCAAACTCTGTCGACATGGTTGGTACCAATGGATGCCTTAGGTTGTCTAGTTTCACAAGATATAGCATTAGCTTAAAAATGAGAATGCCACAGTCTCTTAGCAACAGTAATGTCAACCTCCAATTATTGTTGCCTCATCACAGAGACAATAAAGTGTATCGCATCGCATCGTATCATAACTTGAAAAAAGATGTCAGGTGCACACTGTAAGACTCGATGCAAAAATGTTTTCTTTTATTCAAGTACCAACGTTTCGACTAGACCATCTTCATCAGGGTCATGGCGGTCTAGTCGAAACGTTGGTACCAAGGACGCTCAAAGTCCTCCCACTTTTCCACGCTATTCAAGGAGAATACTCAACGAAGATGTGACCTGTTTAAACAAAACAGTGTTCAAAACAATCATTCATTCTGTCAAACACATATTTTAACCTTTGCTTTTGAGTTTCTCTGAGAATTAGTCAAAGAACTACTTTAATTTGCAGCCATGTTAACTATTATTATTAATTCCTCCTAGCCGCAGGATATTAACTGCACCACTGTGTCTGTTAAAACAAAATGTTTTGCTGTGTTTCAGTAGTGCTAAATATAACCCTTGGTGAATGAAAACTTGCAGTCTTTTTTTAGGTCTTTAATAAGGAATTTAAGAACCCCCCGTCAAGATGATTTGAGTATCCTTAAAAAAAGAAAATGAAACCCTTGAAAATTCCTGTATATTATGTCCCTTGTGTCTCTGCAGCCGTCTCTTCCCACATCTCGCTGTTCCTCGCGGCCTCTTCTTCATAACATTACAGAATAGGAAAGGCTGCAGGGTTTTTTTCCATCAAGTTTAGCAATTCCACCGGGACCTTTTATGGGAGATATTTTTTCGTGGTTCATTTGATGTTGCTGGTGTTGATACCGTGTTTGAAGTTTGTGTTTTTGATGCTCATAGTTCCTTAGAGACAATGTCACAGGGAAGAAAAATAATGACACAAAACATAAAAAAGTGTAGTGTTGTTGACAGAAATTTGCATTGCAATGTGGCTTGGCGGTCAATAGCAGTTTTTTGAAGAGGTAGATTTTGCCTAGAGTCATGTAGGAGAGACTGCATCTGCTGAGATGTACCCAGGATCAATTCGACGAGCGTTATGTTTTGTTTTGGTGAACAGCCTTTTGGCTATGCATAACTGCAGATGGAAAGGCAAGTAGGATGTTTCAGACTCTCTCAGCTGTGTCCCTGCCCAATCAATAAACACATCTTTTTTTTTGTTTCTTTCTGAAGAACAACTTGAGGAGGATAAATTGCACAGTAACGGAGGTAAAGTATTGTCATCTGAGCTCGAAAAACACTCATTTTGGCTGCTCACCTTCAATTATTTTGCCTCTGTTGTCCTTCTCATTCAATAGAAAGTTTAGTTTCGGTAGAAGTCGGCTTGTGTTATGACTCATGCAGCTTTGACCTGTTCTGTTTTGGTGCACTCCTCCATTTTTTCTCACTCTCTTTCTCCATCCATTCATGCTTAATCTGCTCCACATCAGCATATTTGAATGCCACTGCACTACTAATACGTTTACATCAGATAACGGCGGAGTTAATTCTTCATTACCCAAATTGAGCACATTTGCTGGTCATAAATGTCCGCCTGCTGCCAGGATTACTCGTACCGCTGCAATCAAGAACTAGAGTTAATGGATGTTTTAGTATTAAGTGCATGACAAGAACCACTTTAGTTTTAACTTGATACACCATATTACACAAAAATGTTCGCCCAAATTGTGAGAAAAACATTTTCTCACTCTCCACAAGTGGTGTATAGACTGCAGATAGTTTGGGTTTTATTTGCCCAGGTTTTCAGACATCTGCTCCTGAGATTCCTACAATAGAGATGCTCTCAGAGCAGACAAAAAAATGCTAAATTTGACAGCAACATCTTTTTACATAACAACACTGTTTCAGCAGTTTTCACAGGGACTTCAGTAGAAAGGAGTTCCACTGGAAATTATAAGGTCTGTGGATTATCCAAAGTAACTAGGACACTGTGTCTGGAAATGTTACTGTTTAACTTTTCAGTTGGCATTTTAAAAAGCCATATTCAGCATTAACAAAATCCATTTAACTCTATTGTATGTGTTTCAAGGCTGAACGCTTACAGACATCTCAAAACCACCACAATCATTAAACCAAAACTTTCTGCATGGCTTGATACCACCACAGATCAGCAAGAAATTACTGTAGGTTCATTTGTGATTAGTGTGAATGTGCATTTAATGCAGTTTGTCACAACCAGGTGTTGTGTTGGCGTTTAATCAGCCTCCATCTCTGTCCTCTTCCAACAGGGAGCCAGGCGAAGCAGGACTGGTCCATCCAGTGGCCCACCTCTGAATCGGGCAAAGAAAACACTCCGGTGTGCCAGCCAGAGGCCAGTCAGTGGATCCGGTTCCAGCTCTCCCAAAGCCCCAAAGTCCAGTCCAAGTACAACCAGCACATGTGCCACAGCCCCAAGGCCCTGGCCCCCCCTTTATATGCCGATCGACTGACCGTCGACAGCCCCGCCACAGGGCTCTTCCCTCCTTTGGACACTGGTCATCGCTCCCTGCCCCCGTCACCCCGCCAGAGGCATTTTGGCCACACACCTCCTCGGACTCCCTTGGTGGTCAACACTATGACCCCGCCTGGCACTCCCCCTATGCGGCGAAGGAACAAAGTAAAGGCCCCAGGCACGCCACCTCCGCCGAGCCGCAAGCTCATCCATCTGCTGCCGGGCTTCACAGCGCTGCATCGCAGCAAATCCCACGAGTTCCAGCTGGGGAACCGCTTGGAAGACACGCAGACACCAAAGTAAGTCTTATACACTTGTGGATTTTTAATGGGGAACAGTTGATGCTCTGTGTTTACTTAATAACCCAAACCATGACACCAGTAATAATACAAAGGTCAAATCATCTCCAAAATTCTAAGCAGAGGATCTGAAGCTACTGTCACTCCCAAATTAATTGACACATCCTGTAATGCAGGAAGGAAAACTAGACAATAAACTAATTCTGAGTTAATGATGTATTCTGATGCTGTCAAACGTTTATTAATGAGTGTAGACAGGCCTATATTTTAAATTAGAATTAAGTGAATATATATGGTAGAAAGAGTGTTATGTGTGATACAGGGCCTCCACACCCTTTGTCAGGTATATAAATCAGTCTCTGCTGAAACTCCACACTTTGAAAGAATCAAATCAGTGATGAGTTAATTCATGAGTTTTGTGTCATGGATGAGTCAGATCTTGTAAAGTTTTGTGGAGAATTTGGACACTGATCTCACTACCTCTCACACGCTACGCTAACTCCATTCCATTTGAACTAATCCCCCTGTGAGCACTCACAGATTGCAGCGCGTCAAGAGTTGAGTTAGATTCAACTTGTTTGCTTTTTATGCTAAGACGCTGGGTTGCCACCTTGATGACCACACACCAAAGACGAGGTGGCCGATGGAGGACTGCAAATCCATTGTGCTTTGGGACATTATGATCAGTTTCTCCAGTTTCTGCATCACTGATACACTGTCATGTGTACTGAGAGGAAACCAGTGACACAGAAACAGAAGCACTTTTGCTGAGCCTCAAATGTTTCCCCCTTCCTTTCAATCTTCCTGTGTTCCACCAAGTTTTCTTCACATAGTCCCAAACATTATCCACCTATTCACTAACATTTTAAATGTGTACACATATAGATCAGTCAGTGTGTAAAAGGTCATGGGATCAATGCCCACATTCTCCACAAAACTTTACAAGACCTAAGAGAGCGGTCTGTCTTGTCATCTTAATGACCAATACCCGAAAATGAGGTGTCTGAGCGCTTAGGGTGATGGACTGCTAATCCTTTACGCTCTGCATTCGTGGGTTTGAATCTCATCCTTGTCGCAGTTAAGTTAACATCACATCCTGCATCAGAAATGTTCTCTTGCTCATTGTTATACCGTCACATATACTGAGAGACAACCTTATGTTTCCGGATGTTGTGAAGTGAAATTGATGTTTTTGGGTGCTGTTAAGTTGGTGAATGTTTTCTAAATGCTGCACATGTGTCATCAAGTTGGTGAAGGCGTTCCTTTATTTGCTTATGTAGTGTCTATTTGCTGTGTGTTGAGCACTCAGGGCCACCATACTACAAGGATATAATCAGGGGAGTAATGAGTCAGATCCTTTGCTTGAGTGAAATGAGCAATTCTCCATGATAAAAATTACTCCTGTACAGGTAAAAGTCCTGCTTTAAAGATGCCTCTTAAAGGGATAGTGCACCTAAAAATGAAAATTCAGCCATGATCTACTCACCCATATGCTGAGGGAGGCTCAGGTGAAGTTTTAGAGTCCTCACATCCCTTGCGGAGATCCAAGGGGAGAGGGGGTAGCAGCACAACACCTAATGGAGGCTTACGGCGCCCCAGATTCAAACGTCCAAAAACACATAATTGAAACCACAAAATATCTCCATACTGCTCGTCTGTAGTGATCCAAGTGTCCTGAAGCCCCGACATAAAAAGTTGTTTGGAAAAACGTCATTTGAATTCTGTTTTTAGCCTCATTGTAGCCTGCAGCTCTGACTGCTTCTGTGTACACCGAGCTTACATGTGCGCGCTTGGGTGCGAGACCAGTGAAAGCATGTGAACACACATGAACGCAGTGCCCATGTCTCACGGTCTTGCGCATGCACACACACGTGAGCGCGGTCCACAGAGAAGCAGTCAGAGCTACAGGCTACAATGAGGCTACAAAGAGAGTTCAAATGACGTTTTTCCAAACAACTTTTTATGTCGGGGCTTCAGGACACTTGGATCACTACGGACGAGCAGTATGGAGATATTTTGTGGTTTCAATTATGTGTTTTTTGGACGTTTGAATCTGGGGCGCCGTCAGCCTCCATTAGGTGAAGTTGTGCTGCTACCTCCTCTCTCCTTGGATCTCCGCAAGGGATGTGAGGACTCTAAAACTTCACCTGAGCCTCCATCACCATATAGGTGAGTAGATAATGGCTGAATTTTCATTTTTGGGTGCATTATCCCTTTAAGTAAAAGTAGGTAATTTTTTTTCTGGTATTATAAAAGGAGGGAGTACTCATAATTCAGAAAACGTATGCTTGAATGGAAGATGATTTGGGCTAAAAGCAAAATTACTCCAGATGTTTTTATTTAGGAGTGAAGCTGTCTGGTTCTTATTGTCCACTGTCCAAATGATCTTGTTTATAAAGTTTCTTAGAGACAATATTCCAAGTTGTTACTGGCAGTCAGTTTCAGCAGATAGCCTGCCTGAAGCAAACATTCAGAGATTCAGTCCTCGCTCTCCCTGATCTGTACAAGATCTAACAACGTAATTCCATCTGATCCAAGTAGCACAGAAAGGAAGTTAGGGCCCCACCTTTCCTTTCAGCAGTTTTACTCCAACATAATCTTCCACCAGAGTCCAATCAGATTAATTCCTGGGAGGACATCATTGCCCATAAAGAACCAATGGCCTGTTGGTAGAGATAAGGGGCCTCGGGGCTGAGTTCCTGACCGGCCATGCCTATGTCTGGTGCTATGCTGATCAGATTTGGCCATGAACAGGGTCCACCACTGCTAGGTAATCAGGAACCAGAGTCCGCCTCAGGAGAGCTGCACTCATTTTGATAATGCCATTAGATGACAGTGCCCTATCACTGCTACACTTGGTAAGTTAATATTTGGGAGTTGTCCTCTGCTTTTACGATGGCCATCTGGGCTATATTTGGTGTGTGCTTGGCTACATCCACACACGTCCGCGTATGTGGGTGCACGCATCTCTATCTGCACAGTGAGGAGTGGATCATAGCCGCAGTGAATAGGCTCAAACGGCATTAGAGAATTGATTACCGGTCCCTGAGCGCTGATAGACTGCAGGCTGTGAGTTGAGCCCCTCTAATCAATGGCCTGTGTGTGCCTGGAAATGTTGCAACTCATCGAGACAGGGCAGATCTGCTGGCTTCTCTGATAGCCAAGGACCTCTCATAATACATCATAATTGGTTGGGGGATGGTGCTGGCAAGCATCAAGTTGGTGGTTCAGCTCTGGCATGAGGCACTTGTTCTTGTTTGTTTCGTATCTGTATGCACGGGGGAATTGGTTTCACTGCAGAGTTGGCGTCTGTTTTCTCCTTGATGCAAGAGTAAATACCTGAAGTTAAAAGCCTGAAAGTTCAGACTATATTTTATTAAATCCTCTATTGAGATTTTTATTCCTTGTTTTTAACCTAAAGGCTCAGGATGGGAAAAAAAAGATAATACAGTCACCAAACCCTGAAAAAATATCACACAGAAGGTGATTTCATACAGCCGTGGCTGCTATTCTTTGATAACCTCTTCCTTCCATATTTCCCCTATACCAACCTCACGATTTTAATAAGCTCACAGTGATCTCATTTTCTCTTGCTTAATTGCCCGGCACTGTGGCCTGACCACAATAACCAGGGATTACCCTCTGACCCCAAGAGATATTTTTCTTCCTTTATCTTAATGAGATATGGCCTAATATCTCATTATCACTGTATAATACAGCACAAAGACTATGTAGCTGAGGGTGCAAGAATGCCTGCCATACCATGTTGAAGGGAAACTGAGGTTTGGTTTAAGCACCAGTAGATAAGTGACATTTCATTTTATGAAATATAATAATTGGCCATTGTCCTTTGGTTTTGTAAACATTCAGGTATTTCCATTAACCTCAGAGATAAAAGATGACTAAAGTGCTGTACCACTCATGATACATGGGCATATGAATGGTAGTTAATTACCCCCGCTAGGCGAGACCGTGGAGGGGATTGTGCGTTTGGTCATGTGCAGCTAATTACTGGACCAATTAGCCTAATACTTTGTGTACGATTATATACTGAAGGACCGCTTGTGGTTACAGTGATTCATGAACCCTTTTTTATTGATTGTTTTATACCATTGCGGACTGCTCACCCCTCACATCTTTTAACTGGATGATAGGAGCAGTATAAGTTTTCCAGAAATCATCTCAGCTAAAAAAATACCACAAGCCTTGCCGTCTTTTGCAGGCCAGATATTGACATCCATAGAAAAGTTTGATCTCATTTTGAATGGGAGCATCTGCAGATTAATTCCATGTCTGATTCCATATCTGACTAGATGATATCAGCCTCATTATAGCAGTATTGTACAGTGCTGGCTTAGATTGTGAACGACAATGACTGTTATATGCGATAATCCATCGTTTCATCTCATGTAGCATGTCATAGTAGTCCACTACGGGTGCCACGTCTAGGACACCTCACAACGTCCCGACAGAAAGTCTAGCATGTTTGATTTTCTTTTTGTCTTTCATGACTTCTCCCATCAGAGCTGTCACTTTGAACACTAGAAACACATCTGCTGCCGTGAACAACTGTATGGCAACAGCCCGGCCTTTTTAATATTTCCTCTAGGGACATTACCACACAGAGGCACGTTAGTAACTTGATGAGTACTGCAATTAGCATCAAGCTAGCAAAGAAGGTTATTTCTTCATAATGATGAAGGATATAAAAGAATAAAATTAATAATGGTGGGGCTTTTACTTACCAGAACTGCAGAGGCTACCAGCTTCATATGAAACAGACTACATTATAAACGGGCCGTTATTTATTATTCCCTCTGTATTTTCATATTTTCACTTTCAATCCGCTCCAGTGTGCCTTGATAAAGTTAATGCATTGCGCCATCATTTCAAACTCAGCACTTTCTGCGTCTGTTTCAAATTAAAAGCTCATTATAACTTCAGTTGAGAGAATCCCTTAACTTTCTAAATAAGCTTTTATTGTGAAACATTTGCAGGAA